GTTAGGGTTTTTTTTTTTAATTTTTGGCTCAGCTTTAGTTCTTGTGCTTGTAATCAACAAACTCTCATGAAAACAAATTACGTACAAAATGTTGTTGAGGGTTGAACTAAAGTCTGCCTGTATCTGACTTCTACTCTGCTTTTGCAAAATGTATTAATATATTTTACATGGCAGTTCATCCATTATGACAAATTCAGTTTCCCTGCAGGACCCCCCCCCCCCCCCCGTCCTGATTTGACCCTGATTTACATTTCAAACATCATTAATGTAACTATGTGCTCCTGTTTTGGGTAGTATTAACAAATACTTCTTACTGTAATGCCCACTACACAGTACTGACACAGTATACAGTACATAAATCAGTCCGAATTGCTGGCGTTTTAAAGGTGTAGTTCATTAAAATCCATAATTGTCAAAGTTAGGAGTGTCAGGAGACAGAGCTGAGTTCATCGCTCCTCTTCTCCCCACGGGTGATTTTCGAAGCATTAATATTTAAAATGAGACGTGGCCACAGGTGTGCACCGATGGCGCCGCGGCCAACAATGGTTGTATAATAGATGGTTGCAGCCTGAGTGCTTCACTATGGCAGACAACACTAATTAGCACACAGTTTACACTCACTGTACCGCTCTGTCTTCCAACTCCCTCCACCCTCCCTGCCTGTCAGCGGATGAGGCCTCCACACCCCCGACGAATCTCCAGCTCTGTAATTAAAACGCTGTAATCTGGGTGGTTCGCCTCTATTTTTAAAAAGCCCCTGTCATCGAGTGGGCAAAGTGACACAAAGAGAAGTATCAAGCAACGAAACGGCGGAGGAGGCGGAAGAAGAGAACGATGGGGGAGATTGGAACAGGCGCAGCGGCAGGTGACGACCGACGCAGTGAGGGACGAGGGATCTAATAAACGATTTTTAATTGGCACCGTGGCCGAAAAATAATTCTTATCCGCTAGTCCGGAGCTGCCCATGCGCCGCACATCATCTAAGATCACGGTAATTATTTTAGAAGACAAGTACTGTTCGCACGCCACTAAATAATATTAGATAACATCCTGAGGTGACTCACTTTAGAAAACTTGTATCAGAGAATCCCTCAACTTTTACTTTCCCAGCGCTGCAAACAGGTGTTTAAGAGCCTAATGCAGTGGTTCTCAACGTTGGGGTTGCAAACTGACGTGGGGTCACCTGGAATTCAAATGAGGTCGCCTGGAGTGTCTAGTAATTGATTAAAAAAAATACATATATAAACAACCGTATTCTTTCACTTTCATGAATATGAATCAAATTCAAATGAAATGCATTAAGAACATAAAAAATGTAGAATTTAGACAATGAAAAAAAGAGAGGCCCATTCCCTTTAATTATTTTAATTATTGATTTTGATGGCGCTGTGACTTCACTGTACTACCTTAGAGCAGGGAGCTGCAGTACTATACGCCGAGTTCACACACGGTCCAAGTGGAACTTTGTAGGCTATTAATAGAACATTTCAGGAACTTCATATGCATAGCTGATATATGTCAAACCTGAATGTGACTCCAGAGCTTGCTGACACTGAAATAGCGCTCTGCAGGGACTGAGCTGCTGAGGTATGATTGAATTATTCGCACTTCTCAGTAATATTTAATCACACCCATGCACGTGTGTGTGTATATATAAATATATATATATATATACAGGCACATACACACAGAGAGTGGGGTCATCCGTGTTAGCTCATTGCATTAGGGATCATTTATTCATACCTCACGGGTGGTATGGAGAAGCTGTGCATGAAGAAACCCAGCACTTTCTCTCTGCGTCAAAGCTAAATGCATTAAGCAACATTAGCCGGGTGCATTAAAAGCAAATAGCAGGGCATCAGTGCTGCTGGGAACTTATTGGGCTTCTTTAAATGTTTCGCTATTAGCACACGCCGGCGTTCTCGAACCGTCATTACTGCCAACGTTTCAGCGGATGGTGACAATAAGATGGAAAAGTTTGAACTCAAAAGATTTTATCATTAGTACATAATTCTGACTCACATTACACACACACACACACAGACATCACTTTTGCCCCTCACCCCCTGCGGCATCAGCTCCAGAACATGGCCATTACCTATCCCCGTTCCTATGGCAACACCGCCCCGCAGCCCTCATGTGGTGGCAGCAGGGTTTGTGTGTGTGTGTGTTGTGTGTGTTTCCTTGTGCGTACCATCACTTGTGGACGTGTGATCATTAGCATGATGCTGAGATTTGTTTAGATAACGTCAATGAAGTTGAATGAATTATATTAAAGTTTAATGTCAGCTCTTCTCCGGTCTCTCTCCTCTCTCTCATTTCTGTTTATTTTTTCCACTTATTGCTTGGGAAAAAAAAGCATAAAAAGATTTTTTAATTCAGTCGTCCTCAAAGTCCTGAGATCCAATCATGACATTTTTCTCTCTTCTTTTACCCTTTCACTTTATTCTTTCTGCCAAATTTGATTTGGTATTAATTTCATACTAATTTTTGGTGTAACTTCAGGCTGTTGTGCTACTATTTTTTTTAACTGAATTTCGAGGCTAATTTCTGTTTAACCTTTGGCATGCTTCCATGTTGTTGACTATCTTTTTAAATCACTTGTTTTAACCATCTTTTGTGAAGCTCTTTGGTACTTCCTCTTATCCATAATTTTAGTTACCTTCTCTAATAACGTTTGCTATGTCCTGGGTTTGTGTTATTTTGCTATTTTGGCTACTTTTACGTCACTGTGGCTTAACTTCTCATAATTATCGAACTATTATTTATTGCAGCCTGCAGGTGGTGGGAGGCAATGAGGTTCAATTTAATCTCTGGTTGCTATTTTTGCTAACTGTTTAGCCTTATGCTATTGTACTGCATTCTTAGGTTACTTTTAGCACTCTAAATTACAATAACTCAAGTTGTACTGTAGCTAATTGGTAGCTAATGTTTGAGCTAACTTTGAGGCTCATTTAATATATATACTAAAATTACATTATTATTCAAATCTCTTTGAATTTTTTTTCATGTTTGTTGGCTAACATTTGTTATGGTAGTGTTACAGGAGGAATTTTTTTTTTTGTTATTTTGAAAACAAAACAACACAGCCCCTGCTTCACCCCCCCGCCCCCCTCCCCTATTTTTAAGATTTTGAAGAAGTCTGTTTTCTGACTGTAAGGCAGTGACTCTGTGAGAATTTTCTAGCAACATTATTTTCTGTGATTAAACGCCTGTGGCAGGTGATTAGTGGGTCGGTGATTAGAATCACAGTTGGGAAATTGTCTGTTTTCTCATCAGGGAACACTTCAGTGTTGCCTCCACACCTGCAGAAAACTCCTGTTTGAAGTTTCCTTATCGACGGTTTTCTGCGAGGAGATGAAAACCAATACTTAAGTATAAACATCAAGGGAAGAAAAGTGCACAAAAGCAGGTGCAGGCGAAGAGTAGAGGAGGAGGAGGAGGTGAAAGGACGGATGTTACCTTCTCTTTCTCCGTGCCGTCCACTTTCAGGTGCGTTATGATGAGACGACTAGAGAAGCGATGTCAGATGTGGCTTTGAATATATTTCTTCTCATTTGCTTTTTTTTTTTTTTTTTTTTTCTTTTTTTTCTTTCCCTTTTTTTCTCCCTACGGAGCCGAGCTGACTGACAGTCCCTCCCCAGCTCATCCTCATTCTCCTTCTCCTGCATCTCCACCGCCTCTTCCTCGGGCGGTGGCCAAGCTCCGGAGGCTTCCTCTATCTGGTGCCAATTATCACATTTCCACACACACTTTTGGAGTTTATTAATAAAATGAGAAACCGGTAAGCCACGCCATCCAATTATCTCGTGTTTACCACTTCAGCGCGAGTGGACGGCGTGGCTTGTTGTAGGCGATGATGCCGCAGAGCAGAGCATAAGTTGATACCAGCGATTTCCAGTGGAAATCAATGAGATGAGACGCCTTCTGTCCCCTTCGGAGGCTGCGGTCGTTAGAGAGAAGCGTTTTAATTGTTATTAGTCCTAGACTGAATGAACTCCTCTTCAGTTGGATGTTTGTTTTTTTTTTTTTGTTTATCAGGGCCCTGATTGGTCCCTTGGCGATGGTCTCCATCTAACACAGGCAAGGTGGTGTCATTGTGTCTCGGCTCCAGCTCTCTGAATGCTGACTTAATCAGACACAACCTGTGCTCCGAGCTCCCGGCTCCTGTTTCCCACTGAAATCCCCAGAGCTGAGCTGTTGTCTCTGAGCTCTCTGAGCTCTCAGTGCTTCTCCCTGTTTATCCACACGCAGACCTGACTCACGTGAGCCGCTGATGAAGACCAGAACTATAAAAAGGTGCTTCTCGGCGACACCGTGAAAAATTAAATTTAGTCTCACCGCCCCGAGGCCGTCGCTGGTGTGCGCCTCACTATTATTATAATGCTGCATATAAAACTTTCTTTAAGGTTCAGGGTTCATTAGATAATTTAATTTGAAAATAGTTAATGATTTCCTCAATGAGAGGTTAGGCACCGGGGGACAGAGTGTCATTCTCAATCAGAGTGACTCACAGGCTGAGGAAGTCTTCTGCTGCTGTTTCCCTCACTCTGTAGAGGCTGTTACTTTCCACTCTCTCTCATTTGCACCAACACACACACACATATTCATTAATACAGAAAATGAGAACTTTATCACGTTCTTTACCAACGACTAGTTAATGGCCAACCCTAATTGTAAGCTTGTCCTCATTCTAACTTTGTTTAGAGATTGAGATACAGTATGTGTCGTCGTCGTTGTTGTTTGTGTGTTTAATCCTTACTGTATGTCTCTCATGTCCTGGGTTCTTTTTAGTCTTTGAATCCCTGGAGATTCCTCTTTATATTAAACCATTGTTATGATCAGTTGTCTGTGTCCACCGAGTTAATGTCTACTAACTAACTACGACCTACAGAATTGTCTTTCGCCGCACACACAGAGGTGGAGGTTTCACTGCAGTCAGCATCTGACGGCCCTTCGTTAGCTCCCAGTTTAATCCATTATTACTTTTGTTTATTTAGATGCGGTGGCACTGCTGGCTTCACATGGTGTCTGGAAAAGAAAAGGAAAAATCTTTCGACAGTACAGACTGGTACGAGGCATCAGAAGAGAGTGAGGCAGAGCTGCAGGAGAGGGAACATGCTGACACACTGACAGGAGAAGTTCAGGCCCGGGCAGGTAGGAAAGCACAGTGGCACATCACATCTCCCCCATAATAAAAAAGGGAAAAAGAAGAGGCACCCTGGGGTTACATCTGACAGCAACAGTCTATTATGAAATCCACAGCAGATGCATCGGCAGACCATGGCCACAGTCACACTGTGACTACGTGCAGCACAACGCCACATTTGAGAGCGGGAAATGACATAGGCGTGTCATAACGAGCGTGTGTTCAAATGCATAGTTAAGTTAAAAAATGTGAATGTGTGTGATTTTCTGGGGCAATAGTTCAAATAGGAACCAGAACCTGATCTGAACCTGGTTGTATAAAGTTTTTTGACAATCTTATTATTGAATTTTACCATGTAAATCAATCTCTCTTTATACAATAGAGTTACAAAAGGTGCTACGTAAAAAAATACAACACCCACACTTGGCCTTGACCAACATGTCCAAGGGATGCAGAAAGTATATATAGACCTACACACACACCACATGCCCACATATATAGACAAACATGTATATATAGACATATGAAACACGTAATAAAATTTGGACACTAGAGTTTTTAATCAAGGTCCAGTGAAACAGCTGCGTTGGTCAGAGGTAAATGTAAAATGCTGCTGCTGCTGGTGGTTTTAATTACCTTAATTTCTGTCATTATTTCGCCGGTGCCTGGTTCATTATCCTCTCTCAGGTCTGTGTTAGAAAAGGTCACTGATGACACAAGAAAATGTACAGCAGTTGTACTATATAGAGAACGAGAGAGAGAGAGAGAGAGAGAGAAACACATCATACCTGAAGGGTTATGGCAGGGATGTGTTGTTTCTGCAGTTTTAGCTCATTAATATTTTCTTCATGCATGGATTCATATAAACTACGTGACAACCGTCACAGCTGCACTCATACACAGAATATTAGCAGCAGTGTGTGACGAGCGTCCACTTCTCCGCTGCCCATTAGGGTTCATTTCTATGACTCGGTCCGTAATGAGCAGAAGCAGCAGATTGTGTACACATGGACGCCGCTCCGTGCTAACTCTTTAGCATATGCCGAGGAATAGTGGGCGACTGGTGGTGTCTCTTTAAAGTGTGAAAATTGGAACTTAAAGTGGCTCTCTGGCAGAATGGTGAGTAGTTTAACTGACATTGAGCCAAGTCAAGAGATGAGAGGAGGGAAGAAGCGCCTGTACAAAAAAAAAAAAATAAAAAAATACAGAGGAGCACATAAAGTGAAGGTGATTGATGTATATCTCTTTATATATATGTGTGCCTTTATTTATACATATATAAATAAAAAATATTAGACATAACATATGTCAGTTTTGCAGAGCTAATATTGTAAAGCAACAAAATATATGTATTTATTTTTATATATATTTTATGTATTTATATTTATTAATCCAGTTGTGGGGTGGATTGGATGGTTCAGTGGGCCGGATTTGGCCCATGGGCCGCCGGTTGATGATCACTGCTGTAGACCAAGTGAACAAGTTGTTATCAGTCAAGTAACAAATTACAAAAGCGGTCAGTTAGCTCGACGAATTGCTGCTGAATGACAGGTGAGGGTGTGGTTTCAATAGATCCAGATTGTGAGCCTCATCTCAGCCAAATGTGAACTCAAGGTCAGAGGTGGCAGAGTGTTGGTTCACCTTGTAGCCCATATTTTGGATAAGTCAAAAATTCATGAGTGTAGCGTTCTGTAGACTTGATCATCGACGACCCTTTCATTAGTGTCACAAAAACCCTAACCTTATATGTCAAATAACTCTAATATCTCAGTGACAAACTCTGTTCCCGTCAGCATCATTTCCAATTTATACAGATGCTGACAGCAGCAGCATCTGCTTCTGGCTCTTTTTTTTTTTTTTTTTTACTTTATTTCACATTTCCTACCATTTTCCCGTTGCTGTGAATGCAGCTCGAGTACAGTGAGATGACATTTCTGCGTTCTTACGTTCTGCAACCCCTGTCTTCCAAGCTCCGATTGGGAAAACACCCAGGGGAGAAAAGTCAGAGACGTGCGGACTATTTCTTATTGGAAATTCAAAAAAGTAGACATCCATAATTACTGCTTTGTTCAGGGCTTCTGTCATCCAGTGCTCGTAGCTCCTGCCTTCAGTATCCAAAGTCACCCGGGGTACCATTGCATCATGGCTGTGAGTCACTTAAGTAAAAAAAAAAAAAACAAAAAAACAACTACTTCTTTTTAAAACTGAAAGTCAGTGGAACACCTTAAGAAGAGAACAGTTAACGAACGTTTCTTTAAATATAGCTGCCTTCTTTGTTTCTAACAAGCAGTCGGTGCATGGTAACAGTACTGGAACAGTTGGAGGGTTTTTAATAGGGTTTGGAAGGAGTTTTGTGGTTTTCCGAAAAAAAAACAAAACTGTAATAATCATTTTATTCTGCTCTCTGTTGACTCTCAGTTCAATAAAACCAAATCATTTTGGTCTTTCCATGCCATTTAATTGATCTGTCGTGTCTCTAACACAGATGCTTCACACCAATGATAATCAACCTGTGGCCTGCGGGCCGAATCCTGGCCGCCAAACCGTCCAATCTGGTCTGCATCTAGATTCTGAAATTGTGGGGCTCAAAGAAAAAATATCTTGTGGTAGTAAAGCAAAAGTGAAAAAAAAAACTACCACTGAGAGACTGAAGAACATCGTCTGCTGTCGTTGACTAATTGATGTTGTTTGTGCTGAAAGGCTTCAGGTGGACAACAGTGTCAGATGGTTTGCCGATCACTTGTGTCCTACGTGTTCATGTTAAACGGGCGTGTGTGTGCGGATGCATGGCTGTGTTTGTAAGCGCTCCTCTCCTGGCCCATCTCTCCTAACAAGTGCTGAAATAATAATGAGAACATCGGTCGCTTCTGAACGGGCAGCGTCCTATACGGCACGTGGAGCAGGATGTGCGCAGAGACATAGATAAGAAACCAAACAGCTTGGCGTGAGATGAATCTGTCTATGGTGTCCTTTTTAAACTCTCTGAAATATAATAAGATCACAGCGTTCTTTCTGGAGAACAGAAAGAGCGACGTGTTAACTGCAGATTCCGTAGGTGGAGACCAGCAATAATTGTAATGCTGCACAGGAAGCACACGCTGGACCCGAGAACTTTCTCACACGTCAGTCAAAATCCAGTTTCAAATTGTAGCGTCGTCCAGTTTAAAATAAAGTTAGAAATGGTTTTTCCCTGGTAGAGGAAACTGTATGAGTATATAATCAGCTGCGTATGTTTAAAGCAACAGGCAGGATATAAACCCAATCTGCTGTTATTTTTACTGTGAGCACTATGTGGCGCTGTGCTCCTCAAACTTTTCAATAATATATTTTTAATAATAATAACCCTAATAATAGACAAAAGGCAATATATTGATTTAAAATGTTTTTTCTCATTATCATTGATTATAGGTTTTAAAAACTAGAGCATGTTAAATGTAGCACACCTCCCACACACCTGCGCCCAAACGTTTTGGCTGGTACTGACCTGATACACATGTCTAACAATACTGGACGTGTAATAAGAGTGTTTTTCTGGAGTAGAATTTCAGGGTGATTTTCAGATGAAGTTCCTCGGAGGCTTCTTGAACCTGCTGAAGTGCCCCGAAATATAATTGCTTTGGAAAAAGAAGGAAAACAAAAAATAGCCTGAATTTGCCTGGTTTTGCCAACGTTGTTATTGAATAATAGACACAACTGGCCATGGAAACAACTTTTTCTCAAACAGTTTTCACATATTTAATGGACAAAGGTCAGGCCATGACGTAGGCCAACGTTCTAAATATTCACCACCGTCACTGTTTTTGCTGGAATTGACCCAGTCATGATTGCTGATGATTTTGTGCAGCTAGTGCAGGTTTTTTTTTTTTTGTTTGTTTGTTTTTTTGTGGCTTCCTGGAACATATAGTTCTGTTAAAGTTTGTTTTTTTCGATCCATCAATTCTCGAGTCATTATAAAATGGAGAACATGTGAGGAATGAGGACAGAACAGAACTTCACATTTGGAACTCTCAATTTAAACTTTCACACTCTCCTCACGTGATTGAATATTAAATGGCTTATAAAACATCCATCCATCCATCCATCGTCGTCTGCTTTCCCAGGGCCGGGTCGCTGGGACACCCTCTCTTCTCTCTCCCCAGACACTTCCTCCAGCTCTTCTAAAACGTTTTCATTTATTTTACATTAGGTGCGTCGTTCTGAATTTAAAAACAAGTCAACAAAATGTAGCCTTATCTGTGGTGACAACTTATTGAAGCACACGAGTGGATTCACACACTGCTTTCATCTCGTGCATAAATAAAGATCTGATTGAATTAACGTAAAAAGGAGATGGATCAGAGACGCAATCTGCAAGTCTGATTAGATTATAATTGAAAACGGAATTGGATCAGAATAAAATGCTTTGTGACACATCTGAAGAAAACTAAAACATCTGAACAAAATTAAAAAAATATGTTCTAATTAAAACGAGAGATTTTAACAACGTAACAACACGACAGAGAGCGGAGGGATTCAGTGTTTAATTGCATCGTAAAGTTATTTTTTTATTTCATGTTCATATAATTATTTGGTACAAAATAATCCATGCAGCATCAAGTGGTTTCAAAAGTGCAAAACGGCTCCAAAGATCACTTCACAGATCAGTCAGCGAGCATGCCAAGAAGGACCAGTAAACACTCCAATAAGCACAGACGGAGTTTGTTGGAAAAACGTGCAAGATTTCAGGATTTGTACAATATTTAACCAAACAAGAAAATACTTCAGTGACCCACGTATCCACTAAGTCCACGGAACACAGCAGCTAACGCCTGGATCTGAGGAAACACAATCATGCGTTTGACGGTTCTGGAGACACCCATTAACAGTTATCTAAAGAAAAAGAAGTTGAGGTAAAATCTTGTAAACATCTTTGTTCAAGTTGGCAATCTTTTAGAAATATAAAGCACTCCAAACATTCAACATATCGCCCCACGTGTAAACAATTGCCCATCTTTACGCACAACTTTTACGCACCAACATCGGGGTCAGAAGTACAGTTCCTGGCGTTTTCTCTCTTTTTAATGTCGGAAGCAAATGTGAAGTTTTTGCATATCTATCCTCACCAGGACATAAAGAGGGCGTCTATGAAGTACACATGCAGATGCAGGTCTAGACCTGCGCCGGGGAAAAATGCGCACCAGGATTTTCCCGTTACTCGATCTCCGCTCCAACTGTCCACGGTAGCGAGGCATCCTACATCTAACCGAGTCCGATCATGACCGTGTCCACGTCTTTGGAGGGTCTGCGTTCCTTCACCAGGAAGTTTATCATGCTCTCCGATTTGATCATCAGGTTGCAGCCGAGGAAGAAGATGCCGAACATAACCGTGAGGGAGAGCACACACAGCACCGCTATTTGCACCACACGCATGACAAAGAGTTTGCGCTCCTCCTGCAGCAGCACCAGGGACCCTCCGCCATCTGCGGTCACCACATCGTTTGTGCCGTTGCCAGAGTACGTGGCCAAAGTTTCGGCGAGGGTTTGACTCCCGTTGAAAAGTGCGCCCTGAGTCACGTCGAAGAAAGAGCCGTTCATGTTTCCCTGCGAGTTTCCGGCAAACAGACTCTCGACTTCAGCAGCCAGGCGCACAGTATCAGCACCACGAAACCTGGGCTCCAAGTGAAACTTTGCGTCATGTGAATATTCTGGCTTAAAACCGATCAAAAAAATAAGGAACTATCTTTCAAATGTCAGGACGGACACCCAGTTTTACGCAGCTGCGGTGCGTTATGACCACCTCCACATCATTGGATCGTTCCCTGAATGTCAGTACGGGGGTCTACGGCCCATGCTTGTCCTGAGTCTCCGAGACACTGCAAAAAGTGTGTTCCCCCCCTTGTGTAATAAGAGACAGTCCCTGCGTTAGCCTGCGAGCGGCTCCTTTTGTGCCAAGTCTCTGGTGCGTTCTAAAGTGATGATGAGCTCCCTGTGGACCACACCACTACTCACCAGGAGGAGGAGGAGGAGGAGGAGGGCGCCAGGTAGCACTGGAATCAGATTAAGGAGTAATTAAAGGTGGGAATAAAGCCCTAAGAAATTATAATCCAGCTACGCTGCCTTCACACAGAGAGAGAAGAACTCTCAGAGGATGTTTCCCCGGAAATCATTGACTGAGCGCTGCTCCACGTCGATTTATCCAACATGGAGGCCAAGTGAGTCACCCATAAGGGCATCTTCAGCTTCCAAAAAATCTGAAATTGACTTGATACACATTAATGCAGACCAGTACCAGCCCGGGACTCATCAATACTGATGAAAATATATAGGGCATTGATTTTTAACAGTGCAGCGAGAATTGATTAGGAGGATTTTGATTATTTTCACTTTGAAGAACAATCCAAGCTGACAGGGGTGAGAAATTGACTAATATGGTCAGAGAATAACCTTTAAATAAAGATGTGAAAAATCGCTCCTATCTTTGTAGCATGGCACGTATTTGTCAGAGTTATTGGCTCGCCAGCGTGAGTTGAAAACGACAGCAGATCGTTAGCTTTTATTGTTTTTGTTCACAGTTTGTCCTTCAGTATCAGTGTCTGTGCTGCCCTCATTCCTCACATGTTATCCATTTTATAATGACTCCAGAATTGATGGATCGGGTCCACAACAACATCTTGGACTGAAATACAGCCCCGACGCTTTACAGAGCCTCTCCTGTTTTTACTTTACTGCTTCAATATTTATAGTGATGCATGTTAGTTAGGATCGAAAAAGAGGTACAGACAATAGACTATATGATTGCAACGAAGATCAAGCTAACACATAAGGAAGGCCCCGGTACAGTATATGCCGTATTTTAATTTTTACAATCTGAGTAAAGCTGTAAAATCACCTCTGTGACCTATTCCGTCATTGTTGCCGAGACTGAACGTGTGTGTGTAGAGCAGACACTCTGCATATAGTCGATAAAGGAACATATTTCCTTTGGAAAAGCAGCTCGACATACATTTGAAAATAAATGTATGTTTTATTTAATAAAAGGTCACCGCAGTGGTGCAGCGTATACTTGGTGCCGTTTTGTATTAAGTGTGACCTAAAAGGGCTGTTTTAAAACATCCATCTAACTTTAATTGATGCACCATTTCCAGGGAATACTGTACACGTCGACAAGGCTTGATTGTTGACAACACACAGGTGTGGGGGTCAGGAGATGAAGGAGCAGGTGGAATCAGGAATGAAGACGTGGACAGCAAGCGCTGAACTCTGGGGGATAAGAAAATCTGATAGAATAACAAAAAAGAAAATCTTATAACATGGAGGTGTCAATATAGTTTATTCCAATTTCTTGATTTTTTTTCACCTTCTTTGTATTATGAACATTATAGTAGTGTGTGGTCAAGAAAGACAATACTTCAAGATAGTATAATATAATATAATTAATATAATATATATATAATATAATAATCTAAACGTTACGGAAGATGTGTTGACATCGAAACGGTTTCTAAAGTTTAAGATTTCAAGTGAACGCTGCTAAAGCATGACTCGAGGCTCATCCACGGTGCTATTTCTGTGTAATTTAACTGATGTCAGCACATCAGTTACTTTTTTTTTAACTGATGTCAGCACATCAGTTACTAAGCAATTATACTACACTGACTGAATTACTGATTCTAAAATAGAATATATGAAATGAGTTTGCTCATGGCTCCATCAAAACCTACATTTTTGTGCTGTGGAAAAAAACGATGTGATGAATGTGATTTTCTTTGGACATTTCAAGAGGATCAAAAACCAATTTTTTTTTACGACTGCAAATTTAAGAGTCATTTAGCAGGACAGGCAGAGTAGGGGCGGGTGGAGACGAGCGGCATCTGTGATGTGTTATCAAAGAGTATCAGCAAAACCGAGGGAAGACATGGGTTTAATCTGCTACGATGAATGGTTTGGAGACAGTGACACCGTCTCAATGAGACGGCTGAGAGAGAGGGGGCAGCGTTGGGGATAACAAGGTTTTCATTAGAAGTGATGAGACCAGGACGGAGCACATTAGGGTGGAGGAGAGACGGTGAATGTGTTGGACAAAGGATAGTGAAGAGGATGCACCCAGGTAGGAGGAAGAGAAAAGAGAGACCAGGGAAGATTCACAGAAGATGTGAAGGAGGACATGAGACAACTGAGACGGCACAAAGTAGGCAGAGGTGGAGGCAGATGGTCCACTGTTGTCTCAAAATACAAACATGTAAAATGGAGGGGCTCGTAGGAGAACAACGTGTCCGAGAAGGTGGAAGTGGAGGAGGACAAGGAAGAAAGGCTAATTAGAATGAGATGAACCAAGAGGAAGAAGAAGGAGAAGAATAAAGAGGTGGAGAAGAAGATAATATGATACACATGTAGGATGAAGGAGGAGGAGGAGAAGCCAGGGGATGTTGACGTACTGTACATATATTTACTGTCATGTGTCCATTTCACTTCAATCCTAATCCGTCACCTACACGCACTCGTGTGTATGAACGTTGTCATCTGAGCCTGTCAGATTAAACCGCTGTTTGTCTTAAAACAAAGGCCATGAAATTGGATTTGGAACGCTCCCATTGTCTGGGTGATCAGCTTCACCGCCACCGACCGACAGGCGTGTGTACAAACACTGATTAGCTCCATCCGCAAACATGAGCCCAGAGGTATTTACGTACAGTATGTTCAGATAGGGTGGATAACAGGGAGACTAGTTTCTGTGTGTTTACATTCAGATCTAATAACCATCGTCAGACTTTGGATTTTAATTGGCAGAGAACTGCGCTCGTTAAGCATGCGTTTCCGTTCTGCCGGCTCCTTCAGTGTAATTATGACAACATGACAACATGTCAAACAAATGTTTGAGGAGTTTCCAATTAAAGGCCCTCACGTTTAAAAAACCAAACAAAACAGCTCCTGCTAATCCGTGATCATACGTAATCCTACCTCACTTTGCAGTACTGTACTATATATAGGACTGAGATCCTACAGGTCTGTGGGAAGAGGAGGTGTTTGAAGGTACAGCTGCAGTAGCTGCCTTATCAAAGGGCCTGTGAGATAAGAAAGCTGCTTCTTTTCACCACCTACTGGAACAACAGCCTACTACTGTATAACACTCCTCTCCAACAAGAATCATGGCTATGATGTCATAGCCTGCCAACCGATGAAAAAACAGTTATTATTATTATTATTATTATTATTATTATTATTATTATAATCCCAGAGTTAGGGAGTTTGTCATACATTGGTAAGTTGTTGCCATGCAATGACAAGCCATGGACCGAGTCACTATGGTCATCAAGTCGATGGTTGATGTGTTGAGAATCAATGACAAAATAAACCTTTCTCTGTAGTTCTATGTTTTGAGTCTTCACACCTGTGTATGATCATTGAGGTCAAGTTTTGCGCTCAAACAAACGTGTTAATGTGCATTTGATTTTCTGTTAGCGTCACTATTTTTAGTGCCGCTAATGTATCAGGTGTAATTTGAGAACTTTTGTCCTCCTAGAGCCTCCTGCACCGATGAACCGGTTGTCAAGAGGAACAGATTTCGCCGTCGCTCCTGTCGCCGACAGAGACGGTAAGACTCCAACACATGTTTATTGTCATTTAGGTTAAACATGACGATATATTCATGGAGACGCATAAAGACATGAATGTGACTTGTTCCTAAGCAACAGTAGACCTGTGAGCCCAGTGACAGATGGTTGGTGAAGTTATTTTGGTTTGGAGGAAAAGTAGAGGGAGCAAGGGGAGGGGCGGGAGGGACGGACGGAGGGAGGAAGGGAGGGTGAGGTACTTGGACGAAAGAAGGGGGAGCGATGTTTCCACTTAACATGAGGGAATTGGCAGCCTAGCAACGCAAACTAAGTGAAGACATCCCTAGCAACAAGAAGGTGGCGTTTGACCCCACCCTCCTCCCTTCTTTCGCTCCTCTCCCTACAGCATCATCACCACCTTCGTCCCTTTGAGCCGGCGATCCGCCTCGACATTCCCTCTGATCTGATTCTCCCTGAAACGACCTATTGATAAGTGATTAAAGCGCAGCAGAAGTTCCTGCCACATCTCTGTCAGGTGTCGCCCACACCCGGATGGCACAGCGTCTTCCGGCCATTAAATATGAATGACTCCAGTACAGGAGATAAAGGCGAACGCTTTGGTTGTGATGTTTGCCGCTTTTGGGTTTGGCTAATTGCTATGAAGTAAACATAGTCTGTTCATTAGGACTGGTTTTTGAAAAGTTTTTGAAAGCACGGCACGTACATCAGTCCTACAGTCAGTAGCCATTAGTCGGTGGAGTTTGTTAATCGTATCATCGCTGTCATTTGAGGACATGAGCTGTGTGTTCAGGTTCGTGTTTAACGCACCCAATGGTGAAACACAGACCATAGACTCAAGGAAAATAGTAGGAGGGTCTATAGACCGTGACAGCTGGAAATAAGCAAACATTTTCTGCTCATCCTTATGTCAGTTGGGATTCACTTTAGGGGAAAAACCAAATTACAAGTTGATGTGACTGTCTGATACAGTACAGACATTGTTGGCATTTCTGTCCGGCAACAGTACTAGTCGTCCCTGCACTGATCTGGAGATGGTTTCCAAGACTCAGGTCCAAAAAGTCCTGCGTTTGTCCCCTGTCTACTTGAGTACTACTAGTAGCCAAGTTGTATTTTAAGGAAGTACAACCAGGAGTTTAATGACAGCAAATTTTACAACACACACATACTGTAGTTAATTTTAATCTTTTAATCACATAGGACTTCTCTTAGACATCATCATCATCATCATCAGGGCCATCATCGTTGTTTTAGTTTGACTTTTTTCCACTTATTTTTTTACAAATAGACACTGGCCAAAGGCAGATCATGGAGAAATGAACGTGTCTACATGGAGCTGGTGTTTACACTGAAGTTGAACGACAATAAAGACAGACATTTTAAGCCTGAAGTAAATGTAAACAGAAACCTCTATGGTTTATTTTAAACATGAGTCACAGTCCTCGGTTCACAGCACCCCCACCCTCTCCCCCCCTCAACGCCAGGTGCTACAGCCTGGTCGGTGCTGCCTGCTTGAGCCTGAGTTTCTTTTCATTTTCTTCGATATAAGCCTCCGTCCCCAGAGAGTGAAATTCAAACAGCAGGAGGTCCAGAGGGGCTGGACGAGGTACAGGCCGACTCAGGTCAGCCGCCACATAAGACAACACAAATATGAATTGTATATTAAAGTCGGTCACTCCGGAACACATTTCATAAGCCGACTAACCTTTCACCTGAGAAAAAAACGTTATTTACCCAGGCGTTCGCTGCCCTCCCCGGTTACTCAATCCAGCGGCAGTTAACCAAACAATGATTTTGTCTGAGAACATTCTGATATTGGCTCTGCGGCAGCGTTGTCCAATTTTTAAAGGCCTCCAGACAGATCTGTAACACAGGTCAGGACCTTTCCATCTCCCTTACCTCCTCTGCCCTCCTCCCCCGCCTCACTACTTGTTAAGGCTTAATTGGCTGCCATCTGACCTGGTCTCTGCCTCTTTATACAGAACTGCTCAAAATGCCACTCATTTGCAGAAGCGGTCGATGAAGAAGTCGTTTGAATCAATAGATCTAAATGAGTCAATAGTAGCCCCGGGGATTTTATTGCCTGTGCTGTTTTAACCGCGGTGTCCTCCCACAGCCAGTGTTTAATGCCAACACTACCATTGACTATTATAGCTTTTCCACTTATTCCTCTATTCCTGTCATTTCTTCTAGGTGCAAATCTTGGACATGGGGTGGCAGTAACTTAGCAACCAGCCTCAGAATAAGATCAGGGCAACGACATAAAGTTTCCATAAATGGACGAGTGTGACAATACGAAGCTTTGTCTCATCCACTGATAGACACACTCGGCAGCAACACTTACTTTTTTTACGTTTCACATCTGCAGAGACATCACCAGTTTTGTCCAATTTTCTTTCTCATTTTCTTTTAAACCCCCCCGGAGCTGGCAAATTTCCACCCCTGCTCCATCACTCAGTGAAATAGTCAGTGGCAGGCGCTCATCACATTCAGACAGTGACGAGGAGGGAGAGTCGATTGGATGGACTGTTTCGGGAGAATGCATCTATAATAGAACTGGCTGAGAAAGGCCCAGTTATTTAGGAATGTGGCTGACGGCTGGTAACGTGTGATGAGGGATATTGTTTCTTTACCCACTAGGATTTTTTTTTTAACTTCACAGCCTACTAATGCACATGACACCATGTTATTGTTGCTGTAAATCATTGCTGAGTCAACAAATGTGTCTCACTGGCTGCTGGTTTTGGAGTTGCAGTGCGTGAACCTGACTGAAGCCTCGCAGTATATGCAGCGTTCACAGTGTTCATACATAGCAGCCACGCCTCTTAAGTAAAGAGAAGAGGCAGTTTAACATCTGTACGTAACAACGAAAAGACGTAGCTGTGTCCGAGAGCACCCCCTACACTCTACATAGTGCATTACATACAGGCAAGCCATGTTATATAGACCACCAGATGTGAGTAGATGTTGTCCACTATAAGGAGCACTCAATGTGTCCCACAATGCACCGCAAAATCTAGTGTACAACCAATGTGCACTACCCAAGCAATATATCCCACCATGCATTGCAGTTGTGACGACATGGCGGAGAGAGGAACAGCATTTGTCCATCCGTTGGTTTAAATTGTGCGACAGTAGTGACATTTAACGACCCTATACCACATAGAAAGTGCTGAAGCCAGAAACAACTCTAAGATGATCAGTGTTAGACAAAAGAAAAAAAAGTTTTTAGCGACTTCTTCAAGCGTAGTTATCTACGTTTGCTTTTGTCTGGAAGCCTACAGGTGGAGTATTCTGGAACTTTGTGCGAGTATACTGTATGTTGTCTGGTACACAGCTGGTGCATGATTGCTGTTTAAATTTGATTATAATCATATTACTCAAAAAGACATTAGACCAGATGAGCACCTTATCTTTAGCCTTTGAAAATACTTAAAGCATTGCCTACTTTTTTATTAGATTCAGTAGCACCCTAAAATTTACTCAACAAAAATATAAATACTGTAAACTTTTGTTTGAACAAATAATATCTAAACCAATCTAAACATCAAACTAATCAAAAGCTAAGACTATATTAAAATATAATAGAATATTGAAAAAATGCCAAATTATTAACGGCTGTTTTTTTTTTTTTTGGTTTTTTGTTGTTGTTCTCCGAGAAGCTCACTAGAGGGCAGGTTTGTAATGGGTTGCTGGTTACTTTGGCCATTACATTATGAGAGCTGGATTCTGGTTTAAATTAACGGTGTAACTATTATGACTGGAATTACAACTACTTATTAACAACGTAGGTGTCAATGATGTTTTATACATTTCAGTAGTTTTGAGGGAAAAAACAGACAGTTAAAACAACAGTTTATAAAATAAAGGAACAATTACTCTTTTATAGCAATTTTCTGTGATATCAACATAGAAAGCATTTCATCAAGAGGCAGAAAAAGACAAACCAAGCCAAAAAAACAACAACAACAAAAACAATAAGATGGTGTGATGGAGCTTTTACGCAATCCAGAAGTGCATTATTTTATTTATAGCATTTTAATTTAATAAGACATGTGATAAATAATACTATACAGCCAATATAGTATTATAAAAATAATTTTCTACTTTTATAATTTCTTGACTAAACATATTTTGTAACAGCTGCGTGTTCCGTTTTGTTAAATAATAGCAAAATTCATTTTTATTCAGTCAGTTTTTTTTGTAATTGGCCAGGAAGGAAATGGACTATTGGCCGAGACACTGGAGACACCTGCACACCGGAGTCTTCCAAGAACATCCTGATTCAGTTCATATTCTTATAGTTTATATTTTAGTCAGGAAGTGGCCAAAGAGCTCTGGGCTCATTAATGCACCAGTATACACAATAGAAGTGAAGAAAGAAACATTGGTTCAGTGTAAAATGACTGACGGACATACTAGAGAAATGTTTCCTTGGTCCACCTTCACTAGTAGTACTAATCTTTATGACACTAACAGTATCGGTGAGCTGCACCACGAACGAGTCTAAACGTGTCCGTCATGAACTAACGCTGGCGGACAGACTCCGCCGCTTCGACTCCGCTGCTGGTGATGTATGAGACACGACCATGACCCAACACGAGTCTCGTCAAGTGAAGAATGAGGAAAGGAGGTGAGGCTGTGGAGAGAGTGAGTGAGTGGACGAGGAAACACAGTCAGAGTTCACTGCTCCGTTACTCTTCAAACATGGAAACCTTTTCACAGCACCCACTCCTGCTGCTTCTCTTCTTGTCGTGGACAGCGCAGTGCTTTGGTAAGGTGCTTCATTTTAATGTGGTTAAAGTTAAACTTTATTTTTACGTAATTTTCGCTCACCTGACATTC